AGTCTCACCTCGTGACAGGAGAGGCAGACAGATCACCCTGCCTGCTTCACAAGGGTAAATCGGAAACAGGTCCGGGGACACAACCCAATAGGGCCATTCTTCCTCGGCGCTTGCATCAAGAAGGCGGATCGCTCGCAGGTAACCGGTTCGGGGTTCTAGCCGCAAACTCAAGGCAAGGACCTTCCATCCACGACAGTCAGCCTCAAAACCCAAGGAACCAAGAGCTACCTCACGGCAGAGCAGTACCGGACCATATAGAGGTTAGCAGCACCAATGCAGAGCCTCTGAAGAAGCAACAACGAAGGCGTCACAAGGCACGTTGAACTTTAGTCTAGAACAGCCAGCTCACGAGACCAAACCAACAGGAACAGGTTAAAGTTAAAGAAGAGGCGAGCTCGGTAGCTACAAAGACCACTCCTCTACTCTCTAAGTCGTCCCCTCTGTCTCCTGAGCTCTTGGCAACCCCGATGCCCAAGGACTTCAAGATGCCTCCCCTTGACAAGTATGATGGATCTTTCGATCCTAACGACCATGTGGACTCCTTCCAGTCCTAGATGCACTTAGCTGGGGCTGACGAGTCCTACATGTGCGTAGCTTTCTCTACCACATTCAAAGGAGTAGCTCACACATGATATCGAAACCTCGCGCCAGGATCAATCAAGAGTTGGGCACAGTTCGTAGAGTTATTCACCTCGCACTTCATCACCAGCAAGAAGTGTCAGAGGTCCCAAGAGAGTCCCCTTAATATAGTTCAAAGAGAAGGGGAGTCCACCAGAAGCTACATTAAGCGCTTCAATGACACCTGCCTGCAAATCCTCGACCTAGACCCAGCGGTGAAACTCATGGCAGCAAAAAAGGGCATAACTCACAGGGAATTCAAGTGGCATGTGGTGGCCAACAAGCCAAAAGACATCACAGAATTCCTCAAGCTCGACAACCAGTTCTTCGGAACCGAGGAAGAGATGAACCCAAAGACCGACAATGTAGTTGAGAAAAGAAAAAGAGACGGTGACAATACTAGTAATGATAGTCGTAAGAGAAGAAATAGCGTCTCTGAGCAGGGGTGGAAATAAATCTGGGAGCCGATCTCCTTCCCGATCTCACGAGTCAGGTCAACGCTCCAAAACCCCACCTATTGAAAGGATGAGCTACACACCCCTCAACGCTAAGCAAGGTGAAATCCTGATGGCCATCAAAGACTCCTCCTCTATCAAGTGGCCACCTAGATTGAGGAGAGATTCCACAACCAGAAACCAAAATGCCTACTGTCACTTTCGTCAAGAAGTGCAACAAGTGTCAGAGGTGTGCCAATATCCACCATCGACCTGCTGCCGACCTCAAATACCTCACCAGCCCATGGCCCTTCACACAGTGAGGAATCAACATACTTGGCCTATTCCTGCCTGCAACAGGACAGAGGAGATTTCTGGTCGTAGCAGTGGACTATTTTACGAAGTGGGTGGAAGCGGAACCCCTAACAACAATCACAGCCTGCAACATACAAAACTTCTTCTGGAGGAACATAGTATGTGCCTTCAAGCTACCTCGGGTACTCATCTCCGACAATGGAAAGCAATTCGAGGATGTCAAGTTTCAGAATTGGTGTGTCGAGATGGGAATACAACAAAACTTCACCTTGGTGGCACAGCCCCAGGAAAACAGGCAAGCGAAAGTCACCAATAGAGCCATACTTCGTGGACTGAAAGCCCGCTTAGCTCGAGCCAAAGGACTGTGGGTAGACGAACTGCCCTGTGTGCTATAGGCCTACTGGACCACCATCAAGATTGCCACTGGTGAAAATCCCTTCAATCTCTCTTACGGCACGAAAGCGGTGATCCTAGCTGAAATCAAGGTGCCTACGCTACGCTTGGAGGCCTACGACGAGCAGACAATGGTGGACGTTGGCGTGCCTCTGACACTTTTCACATTTTTTGACGAGTTCCAGTGCATCAGCTTTCATCGTTGGCCAGTAGTAACCCTGTCGAAGCGCTTTCTGGGCGAGAGCCCTACCCCCCAAGTGTTTGCCACACAAACCTTCATGAGTGTCGCAGAGAACGAGCTTGGCTCCTGAGGGTCGCAAGTAGCGCAGGTGGAGGAGCGTGTAGGATCTTCGGTACAACTTCCCTTCTATTATGACGTACTTGGTTGCCAGTCGCTCTGCCCTTCTAGCTACATTGCGATCTGCAGGGAGGGTCCCGTGAAGCAGGTAGCTCGCGAGTGGATCGATCCAGCTCGGCTTTGCTTGTGCAACAGGAGCAACCTCTTTTGCCCCCTAAGAATGCTAGGCCGAGGCAGGTTCTCTATGTAAACGGTCCTCATGGTGTTGTCGCTTGTCTTGTCTATCCGGGACAAAGCATCGGCCTCAGCGTTCTCGGATCTTGGGATCTGTCTGATGAAGTACGACTGGAAATCACGCAGAGCTTCTCTGACTTTGGCTAAGTAGGCGGCCATAGTTGGCTCGCGAGCTTCGTACTCGCCGGTGACCTAGTTGACCACGAGCTAGGAGTCGTTACAAATGACGATATGCTCGGCTCTTACTTCGTTTGCTAGGGCAAGCCCGGCTATCAATGCTTCGTACTCCACTCAATTTTGGATGTGATGAACTCAAAGCAGAGTGCATACTCCAGCTTCACCCCGCTTGGCCCGTACAGAATGATACCAGCTCCGCTACCTTGCTGATTTGACGAGCCATCCACATAGAGGATCTAGGGCTCCTCCTCCCAGCTTGGCGCTGCTCTGATCGGGGGAGGTGTCGCACTGGTTGAAGCTTCTCCTCTGTGCTTGGGCTCAATCGATTCAGGAACTGCGGTGCTGAAGATACATTCCGCGGTGAATTCAGCTAAGGCTTGGGTCTTGATTGCTGT